AAGAACTACTGAAACCCGGCCTCTCATCTTTTAAGTTGGACTTTGATGTCACCTCCATAGTTTCTTTAACGGAAAAATCGACATGGATGATCAGTTCAGGGAGGCTCGTGAGCTGGGACTTGAGTCTTGAATAAGACTCAGGCCCACTTGAGTGCTGGACCGAGATGGTGCGCACCTCTGATCTTCAGATCGGCTATTTTTCAAATAATATTTACAACTGGGACGGGAAACTTTTCCACCAATCTGGTACTTTTCTGTAATAGATGGGCTCTTTGCCTGTGGTGATTAAAGTCGTTTGCATGCTTCAGAAGGCTGTGCCAGGAAAGAAATTTTCATTTTCAGCCTGTTCCAACATTGCCACCTCTGCAGCTGGAACCAACAGAACACGCTAAACCAAGTCACGAAATCGGTCCATCTCGTGCTTCGGAAATCATGCGCTACGGTTTTCCAGGCTTCGACAATCTTCGTACTTTTGAAGATTTTGTCCTGTCGTACGATCGTAAAACACGAACGGCGCATTGGGTGAGCGCGTCTGAGATTCTACTTCATCATTGAAAGAAGTTCAGTAAAAGCAGTTTTCAGGTGTGCGAACACTTAACTCCGTCGAGGCTTATTTATGATCCATCGGTTGACCGTTCGAAATGCGAATTCCGCTCAGATCCTAGCATACACAAGTACTTCCAGTCCGAAAACACAGACTACAAGGTAAGGGGTTCTGTATAACCGACTACTGCAGTTTATTTTTTTCTACTCCCTATCATTGCTTTTGAAGGGAAGTGGCTACGATCGTGGACATTTGGCCGCGGCCGGAAACCATCGTAAAACGCAGAAATCTGTCGATCAGACATTTTTGCTTACAAACATGAGCCCACAAGTTGGACGGGGCTTCAATAGGGACAAATGGAACGACCTGGAGCGCTACGCTAGGTTAATTAATATTTCCTTATTGGGAAGAGCCGGTTCCCACCATCATGTATGGAAAGAGATGGATTAACAATCTCCATAATTTAGGAAGATCGCCAAGAAGAGTTTGAACACTTACATATTGACTGGCCCTCTCTATCTTCCATATAAAGAAGAAGATGGGAATAAATACGTGCGATACAAGGTCAGTTCAAGCAATTTCTTTAGGCATCTTTTTGGTAGTAGCTTCATTAAAGTAAACGCTCTCATTTTAGGTCATTGGAGCAAACAATGTTGCTGTACCAACCCACTTCTTCAAAGTAATTTTAGCAGAAACTTCACCTGGAAATTTCGAAATGGAATGCTTTTTGCTTCCAAACCAGGTACTAGAAAATTGGTAAGTAAAGAATTGTAATCGTAATTTTTTGCATTTTACAGGTAATTCATGATTCCACTGAGCTTTCCACGTTTTACGTCCCACTCGAGGTGATTGAAAGGTCCGGTGGCTTTCTGATTTTCGATAAGTTACCTAAAGACAAGCTTAAGAAGGTGAATGGAAGGAAAGTTGGCAGTTTGTGGTAGGCATTCTAAGTCATTTTAAAATTACGAGTAGTGAATATAGGTGCCATATAGATGAAGTTTTCATTGATTTTTTATCAGATGTTGTAAATTCTGGAAGCTGTGATAACTTGCTTAGTACACTGTGTAGATATTTTGACAGTTTCTTTTATCCTCTTCTTGTGCTGTTATACATATTATTTCTTTTCTTTTTAACTAGCTGTGCATTTTTCATTGTTACCACTGTTAAGTTTGAAATATATGGAATGAATTCTTGCAATCTATGCCTATTAGAGACTTGATGAAATGAAATATTATGGCGCTCTCCATTCCTCGCTTATACAATAGCACAGAGGCTCCTTGTTTAGAGAAACCATAAAATATTCATTGGTTGGGATGACATTAATATAAAATTAATTTGGGGAAATTTTTGGGACCTTCTATGACCGAGGATCATTTTAGTTACAGTAACAAGGAGTGGTTGCAATCGATCAGCTTGCTGTACTATGGATTGAATGGAAGCAAGAAAATGGCTGATTGAGAGACTTTCAGGTAGAAGATATGGATGAAGCAATAACCCAGAACAATCGAAAAAGCGAACGTGGATTGTGTGATGGAGATCGAAAAACGCCCGTGGGTTTATGTTCGCTGGCGCTCCATGTGATTCCTCATATCGTAGGCCTCCTCTTCTCATAGCAGCCGTTGCTGCTCCGCTCCGAAATGAATGCGATGTCAGGCTTTTTTGATGCAGACCTTTGAAAAACACCATTTATCCGTTAACGCAATGAGCCGGCAGTCGGTAGGGGATTGACAGAATCAGTTGAAAAAAAAAGAAAGTGATCTGGGCATCCATCGGCTGTTAGCCTCATGAACTCATACCAAAAAACCATCCAATTTCCCTGTACTCGGAATGCCACTCCTTTTGCTTTGATCTGGGCACTATTCCACTATTACTGCCCCAAAATCTCAAAATTTTATTTTTCGTCGAAACTTTGCCTATAGGGGTAATTCGATGCCCTGATTACGAATATGACATTCATTTTTGATGCTGGCGCCATTTGGCGCCAGTTGGCGCCATTTGTCACGACGGCTGTTTTCACCAAATTCGGTGTAAACTTGTACATAGGGGTTATTTGGTGTCCTGATTACGAATATGACATTTATTTTTGAGGCTTGCGCCATTTGGCGCCCATTTTCTGCTCGTCTGCGCCCTCGCACGGGTTGATCACTATCAGGACTAAGCCCTTGGGGAAAGGAGGGCTCAGAGGTGAGTGAGCCACTCACCCTGATATCACACACTTCAACTTTTGTCACATGTTGCGTGGTTTACCCACCTCGGAGTCCTCCTCCAATAAGCTTAGTCTTAAGCACAATGTGAGTGAGAGAGCCCAGGAGAGCAGAAAATATGCGTTAGACAGCGCCAATTCCAAAAACGATGTCATATTCGTAATCAGGACCACCAAATAACCCCAAATGACGAAGTTTTCAGCAGATTTGGTGAAAACAGCCGTGGCGCCAAATTGGCGCCAATTGGCGCCAACGTCGAAAATGTGTGCACAGCACAGTTTATCTGACGCCAAGAGGTTATGGTGATGGTTTGCCGACCTACTGAAGTTACATTCTTGTGGATGCCCCGCACTTCTAGCCATGGTAAGGGCTTCTTAGGTGGGTCTGAGCCCGAACTTTGTCTTTAAATTAGAGTAAATTATTACTGCCTATTCCCTGTGATTCTTTTGCAGGACGCGTTGCCCTGCGAGGGGAGTGTAGTACAGTTAGCAGTTGTATGTGATTGCGTAGCAAAAGTGGCTACCGTATCTGATGACGGAAACAATCGCGCCGTTGGACGAGTTGCCCACCCCGCGACGTGTCTATGGGAAGGCCAGCCCTCCTTTCCAGCATAATTGCTTCGAGACCTTCTTCTTCTCGCTAAGATTTCATTTGAACTTGTTTCAGTTACTTGATGTCATCTTTCGCCGAATATTTTTCGTGCACTTCAGTTGCAAATTTGTGAATTTCAAGAAATAGGGTTGCAGGGATGTCTGTCGATCGCTTATTTGATGTGAAGAACGCATTCTTCCTTGGGCATTACCAGCAGTGTATCCTTGAGGGACAGGTACGTACTTGGAAATTGTGCTAGGCTCTTACAAAGTATTGGGGATAAGTCGCTGAACTGTGAGCTTCCATGGTAGAAACAACTATCGGCACTGATTAGGCCCTAATTTCCTTTTTGCTTCATCGCGTTTTTCTTCGGTAAAAAAGGATAAAGCATTTGCCGTTGATCAATCCCTTTTTGGGATGCGGCACGCATTCTACTTCCATTTGTACATTCGTAGTGGCGTTTGAATGCGATGTGGCCTATACAATGACTTGCGGGGGCCAGCCGATGTACAAGTCAGTGTTTTTATCCTCCCAGACAAGTCTGGTACCAATTAACCGACCCCGGAGGGATGGAAGGCTTGGTTGGCCCGCACTTTCGTATTCTGCATACGAAGTATATACGAAGCGGAGGCTCTGCTGCATGTGAGTCATTCAAATGAATGTGTGCTGCCTTGAAAAGTTTTGGAGCCTGCTCGCTGGAAATGTATTAGCAATGAAAAATGACACGTTTTTTTTCATTTTCGCTTCCGCGTCTGCAGTTTCATTTGTTATGGGAATATGAGGGGCGCATTCATGCATACCGTTGTGGCCTTACGTGTTACCGAAAGTGTTTCTTTTCTTGTTGCAAGTAAAAGATCTGATGACCATGCAGTCCCATTGGCAACATTTTCACCAATGCTGGGTGACTCCCCAAGTTTTGAATGACTTGCGCAGAAATAATTTTCTAGTGGGCGGAAGTGGTGCAGTTGACAAGTGGCGCGCTCACCACGCGAGCGGTCCGGGATCAATTCCTGGGTCGTGAGCAGGGTCAAGCGAGGCGTTGAGGAAAATTTGGAAATACGACCCCCCCCCCACCACCCTCCGCCGGAGGCCGAAGTCCATGAAACAACCCTCTTCAATTCCCCCAAAACTGCTCATAAAAAAGCCCTGCTACCCCACCGCCCACAAAAAAATTCGTTTAAGAAGTACAAAAGTGAAAAAGTCAAAGAATAATCATTATTGATGAGTCCTACCAAACGAGCAAACGAGAAACAGACCAGAAAACGACAAACTAGCCACTAAAAATGGCATACCATGACAACATCTGTTCTTTATTTCCTCCACAAGACTTACCAAATTCGGCACTATTGAGCTATTACAACCCCAGAGGGGGTGAGATGGATCAAAAAATTTTTTTCGCTGAAACTTGCGCTAGGGGGGTTATCGAGGCTCCTGATCACGAATATATGACCTTAGTTTTTGGCGCTGGCGCCAAATTGGCGCCATTTGGCGCCAATTGGCGCCAAGGGGTGTTCTCACCAAATTCGCTGTAAACTTGTGGATAGGGGTTATCGAGGCTCCTGATCACGAATATGACCTTAGTTTTGGCTCAATTTCTCTAGGTGACGCTCGAAATAGATGTCATCTAGGCGCTCATCCAGTAAGGGGGGCATCAAGTGGCTGCCCTCACCCCCCCCCCCCCCCTGAACTGGCTTCACTCCCCCTGGCTCACGGGGTCCCGTACTTCGAGAAACCTGTGTGCCAGGGGGTGTGTAGGCAGTCTAGGGGGGTGGGGGGTGAGGGCAGCCACTTGATGCCCCCCTTACTGGATGAGCGCCTAGATGACATCTATTTCGAGCGTCACCTAGAGAAATTGAGCCAAAACTAAGGTCATATTCGTGATCAGGAGCCTCGATAACCCCTATTCACAAGTTTACAGCGAATTTGGTGAAAACACCCTTGGCGCCAAATGGCGCCAATTTGGCGCCAGCGCCAAAAACTAAGGTCATATTCGTGATCAGGAGCCTCGATAACCCCCTAGCGCAAGTTTCAGCGAAAAAATTTTTTGATCCATCTCACCCCCTCTGGGGTTGTAATAGCTCAATAGTGCCCAAATTCTAGTACTACACAGATTGTGGTTCTCAATTTGCACGTAGCCCTTCAGTTGAAAGAAGCTTTTTAACCGCCTTCGCCAGCTGTGTGTTGACTGGACTTTGGCGTTGACCGTGGAGCAGCTTATTTACTATTGAAATTTGAACAAATATTCAAATGATTATAACTTTCTTCAAATATGACGAATTTTCAATCTGAAAGCAGATTTGGAAGTTTTGTGAAGAGCTTTTTCTAATCAGTATGAAATTACAAAAAGTTATAAGAAATAACAAATTTAGGTCAATTAACGAGGAAAATTCGAGATGAGCACGAGTTTTTACACTTTCCGAAGCAACAACTTGCTTCATTTTCGTCAAATTCGAAAAGTTAATATGGCAGACAAAAAAAACGTAAGGGCATAAATTCTTATAAATTATGCTATACGAACATGGACGTTCGGCGCCTAACAGGCAGGCCCTCCTATGAACGGTCCGAGTACAATTATGCAAACGATAAGGCCGTTCCACAGGTCCCTGTAGAGAATACTCTGACTAATAGATAAAACAGCGACACCGGACGAACTTTCAAATGAGCGAAAGGTGGCGAGTACATGTTTTTACTTCTAGAAGCAGCTTACACTCCGTTACAAAGCTCCCAGATATCCGAGTTCAAACTACACAAGATCAACATCATCAGCGCCCACCCCAATATAAAGCTAGAGGATTTCGTTCTAATCAAACCGGTTTACTAGAAACTGCTGCCAAAGCAACAAAACGAATTCCTAGTATTTAAAACAAATCGGACTACGTCTATAGGCGATTTTTCGCACAGAGTAACCGCAGAAAGGTCTTTTGTCGCCCTACATTAGCACTATTCTCATACGGCATGTATATCCTTTATTAGGGGGCAAATTATCGTACTAAAACAAGAGCAGAATATTGGACCATCATTGCTATTCCATCTCTTTTTAAATGGCTAAATGAAAAGTGATTGATCAAGAATGTCTCTGTCACGACTTTTAAAGGTGTACCATGTTTTACTAAAATTTAACCCTAGAGAAGTCCGTTGGTCGCATAGTCTGAAGGTGTACAGCTCGCCTGTGGAGACATGCCGCACGCGTACAGGCTTCAGAATTTTCGGTCTCGAATTGGTTTACATTCTTGGCAATTTGCTTTAAAAATATTAATTGGTGTTATTTACATTTCTGAATTGAGTTGTAATTGTTCTAGAGGAGCGCGTAGGGGGAAGCACGCGCAACAACTCAGAACCCATTATCTCGGATGCCATGTGACTAAACAGTACCCTTCGATTCGGGTACATTACTTAGAAGAAAAGAGTCGCGAATGATAATGCTCTTGGAAAAAAGCTGATTGCGCAAAAATTCAGATTCTGTTCTTCTGTGTGGCTGGGACAGTAAATAACAGGGGTAAAAGCTGAACAATAAGCACAGTTTAGCGAGAGGCATGCAGAAATTGCAAGCAGAAACTGTTTGTCCGTGGCGTGAGAATAGATCGTTATTTCAATTGCGACAGAATACACTGAGCGTAAATCGCTTGCTTATTTGTCTTACGGCATGGCCCCCGAAGTGCAAAGATCCAGATCGGCCAGCTGACAGATTTAACAAACAGGACTTCGAGCGCTCTTACACAACCTCACCGGCAGCCAGAGTACGAGCCCGGCCACCACCTTGGCGAACGGCATGCTCGCAGGATTCATCACTGAGACACATTGCCTATTGAATTCATCGCACTGGTCCCAAGACGTAGAGTCCAGCGCGGAACTGGTAAAAAAGGATAAAGCATTTGCCGTTGATCAATCCCTTTTTGGGATGCGGCACGCATTCTACTTCCATTTGTACATTCGTAGTGGCGTTTGAATGCGATGTGGCCTACAATGACTTGCGGGGGCCAGCCGATGTACAAGTCAGTGTTTTTATCCTCCCAGACAAGTCTGGTACCAATTAACCGACCCCGGAGGGATGGAAGGCTTGGTTGGCCCGGGCGACTCACGACCCAGGATTTGATCCCCGGACCGCTCGCGTGGTAAGCGTGCCACTTGCCACTACACCACTTCCGGTACACTTGAAAAATATCTTGATGGCTCAGCCATACGATTTTCACTTGCAGTACTTTATCACTGTGCAAGAAGCACTCGAACGTTCTAAGGAGGATATTTACAGAAGTTAGTTACAAAAGTTGAAGAAGAAAAGACTGCCAAAGATGTATTCGTGTACCGTTCATATATTGCACAAGGGAAGGCTTCTGTTGTCCTCAGTGAAGTTCCTGAACGAACTGATAACCCGTCCTTGAGAGCAGTTCGTCGTCTGGCTGAATATCAAAACCCGTCCAACAGGTTACTTCCAGCTGTTTATTTGTTGTCTCCTTTGTCAGATCGTCTCTTTCTTTAGTGTTGAGTTTCTGTTGCAAACATTTTTCTTCAGGCAGCGCATCGCCAACCTTGTACAGAGTGAGGTCTCTGACGGAACAGCTGCAACTGATGATGCATCATGCATTGTGGCTGCGCTCATTTTGAATAATGAAAATGTGAGCTGGTTCTTTTTGAGCATTAAAATCTTGAAAGCTTGTAACTTTTCATTTCTACTTGTGAATGTATGTTTTTAAATTTAAGTTTTTTGATGCGGTTGTTTTGTTATCTAGAACCCAGAAGATGCTATGCGTATTCTTTCAAAAAGCGAGTCTTTGGAAGCACGTTCCGCTACCGTCTTCACTTTGCTTCAAATGGATAGGGTAGACTTGGCTGTGTGGGTTTCTTTGGCTTGCTTTGTCTTGTTGTGAAAAGTTTCAATTGTATACGTTAAAAGCACTATCCGCTGTATGTTGTTCCAGAAAGGAGTTAAAGAAAATGAATGAAATCGACGAAGATGCTACTTTAACCCAGTTAGCTCTTGCATGGGTCAACATGGCCATGGTGGGTGGCATTTAGTATTTTTTTCGGATGTTTATGACATAATTGCAATTATGCAATCATTCTAAAGTACCAGCCGTAACTCATCTTTAGCATTAAAACAGTTTTTTGTGAGCAGATTTCTGTAAATCAGAGAAAACAATGACTTGACATCGGGCATGTTCACATTAAATTACCAGTCGCGGTGTTTACACCTCGTCTATGACATTCTTCAGAAGTAGTCGCATACTGAACTCAAGGGCGGTTGGGAACGTTTTTTTTTCAGGGCAAGGATAAGCTGAAGGATGCGTACTATATTTATCAAGAAATGATGGACAAGTACGGTCAAAGCCCACGGCTGCTTGTTTCCCAGTCAGCTGTTCTTATTCTGCAGGGGAAATATAAGGAAGCGGAGGCTCTGCTGCATGTGAGTCATTCAAATGAATGTGTGCTGCCTTGAAAAGTTTTGGAGCCTGCTCGCTTGAAATGATTAGCAAGAAAAATGACATGTTTTTTTTTCATTTTCGCTTCCGCTTCTGCAGTTTATTTGTTTTCGCAATATGAGGGCGCCATTCATACATACCGTTGTGGCCTTACGTGTTACCGAAAGTGTTTCTTTTCTTGTTGCAAGTAAAAGATCTGATGACCATGCAGTCCCCATTGGCAACATTTTCACCAATGCTGGGTGACCCCCAAGTTTTGAATGATTTGCGCAGAAATAATTTTCTAGTGTGGCGGAAGTGGTGCAGTTGACAAGTGGCGCGCTCACCACGCGAGCGGTCCGGGATCAATTCCTGGGTCGTGAGCAGGGTCAAGCGAGGCGTTGAGGAAAATTTGGAAATACGACCCCCCCCCCACCACCCTCCGCCGGAGGCCGAAGTCCATGAAACAACCCTCTTCAATTCCCCCAAAACTGCTCATAAAAAAGCCCTGCTACCCCACCGCCCACAAAAAAATTCGTTTAAGAAGTACAAAAGTGAAAAAGTCAAAGAATAATCATTATTGATGAGTCCTACCAAACGAGCAAACGAGAAACAGACCAGAAAACGACAAACTAGCCACTAAAAATGGCATACCATGACAACATCTGTTCTTTATTTCCTCCACAAGACTTACCAAATTCGGCACTATTGAGCTATTACAACCCCAGAGGGGGTGAGATGGATCAAAAAATTTTTTTCGCTGAAACTTGCGCTAGGGGGGTTATCGAGGCTCCTGATCACGAATATATGACCTTAGTTTTTGGCGCTGGCGCCAAATTGGCGCCATTTGGCGCCAATTGGCGCCAAGGGGTGTTCTCACCAAATTCGCTGTAAACTTGTGGATAGGGGTTATCGAGGCTCCTGATCACGAATATGACCTTAGTTTTGGCTCAATTTCTCTAGGTGACGCTCGAAATAGATGTCATCTAGGCGCTCATCCAGTAAGGGGGGCATCAAGTGGCTGCCCTCACCCCCCCCCCCCCCCTGAACTGGCTTCACTCCCCCTGGCTCACGGGGTCCCGTACTTCGAGAAACCTGTGTGCCAGGGGGTGTGTAGGCAGTCTAGGGGGGTGGGGGGTGAGGGCAGCCACTTGATGCCCCCCTTACTGGATGAGCGCCTAGATGACATCTATTTCGAGCGTCACCTAGAGAAATTGAGCCAAAACTAAGGTCATATTCGTGATCAGGAGCCTCGATAACCCCTATTCACAAGTTTACAGCGAATTTGGTGAAAACACCCTTGGCGCCAAATGGCGCCAATTTGGCGCCAGCGCCAAAAACTAAGGTCATATTCGTGATCAGGAGCCTCGATAACCCCCTAGCGCAAGTTTCAGCGAAAAAATTTTTTGATCCATCTCACCCCCTCTGGGGTTGTAATAGCTCAATAGTGCCCAAATTCTAGTACTACACAGATTGTGGTTCTCAATTTGCACGTAGCCCTTCAGTTGAAAGAAGCTTTTTAACCGCCTTCGCCAGCTGTGTGTTGACTGGACTTTGGCGTTGACCGTGGAGCAGCTTATTTACTATTGAAATTTGAACAAATATTCAAATGATTATAACTTTCTTCAAATATGACGAATTTTCAATCTGAAAGCAGATTTGGAAGTTTTGTGAAGAGCTTTTTCTAATCAGTATGAAATTACAAAAAGTTATAAGAAATAACAAATTTAGGTCAATTAACGAGGAAAATTCGAGATGAGCACGAGTTTTTACACTTTCCGAAGCAACAACTTGCTTCATTTTCGTCAAATTCGAAAAGTTAATATGGCAGACAAAAAAAACGTAAGGGCATAAATTCTTATAAATTATGCTATACGAACATGGACGTTCGGCGCCTAACAGGCAGGCCCTCCTATGAACGGTCCGAGTACAATTATGCAAACGATAAGGCCGTTCCACAGGTCCCTGTAGAGAATACTCTGACTAATAGATAAAACAGCGACACCGGACGAACTTTCAAATGAGCGAAAGGTGGCGAGTACATGTTTTTACTTCTAGAAGCAGCTTACACTCCGTTACAAAGCTCCCAGATATCCGAGTTCAAACTACACAAGATCAACATCATCAGCGCCCACCCCAATATAAAGCTAGAGGATTTCGTTCTAATCAAACCGGTTTACTAGAAACTGCTGCCAAAGCAACAAAACGAATTCCTAGTATTTAAAACAAATCGGACTACGTCTATAGGCGATTTTTCGCACAGAGTAACCGCAGAAAGGTCTTTTGTCGCCCTACATTAGCACTATTCTCATACGGCATGTATATCCTTTATTAGGGGGCAAATTATCGTACTAAAACAAGAGCAGAATATTGGACCATCATTGCTATTCCATCTCTTTTTAAATGGCTAAATGAAAAGTGATTGATCAAGAATGTCTCTGTCACGACTTTTAAAGGTGTACCATGTTTTACTAAAATTTAACCCTAGAGAAGTCCGTTGGTCGCATAGTCTGAAGGTGTACAGCTCGCCTGTGGAGACATGCCGCACGCGTACAGGCTTCAGAATTTTCGGTCTCGAATTGGTTTACATTCTTGGCAATTTGCTTTAAAAATATTAATTGGTGTTATTTACATTTCTGAATTGAGTTGTAATTGTTCTAGAGGAGCGCGTAGGGGGAAGCACGCGCAACAACTCAGAACCCATTATCTCGGATGCCATGTGACTAAACAGTACCCTTCGATTCGGGTACATTACTTAGAAGAAAAGAGTCGCGAATGATAATGCTCTTGGAAAAAAGCTGATTGCGCAAAAATTCAGATTCTGTTCTTCTGTGTGGCTGGGACAGTAAATAACAGGGGTAAAAGCTGAACAATAAGCACAGTTTAGCGAGAGGCATGCAGAAATTGCAAGCAGAAACTGTTTGTCCGTGGCGTGAGAATAGATCGTTATTTCAATTGCGACAGAATACACTGAGCGTAAATCGCTTGCTTATTTGTCTTACGGCATGGCCCCCGAAGTGCAAAGATCCAGATCGGCCAGCTGACAGATTTAACAAACAGGACTTCGAGCGCTCTTACACAACCTCACCGGCAGCCAGAGTACGAGCCCGGCCACCACCTTGGCGAACGGCATGCTCGCAGGATTCATCACTGAGACACAGCGACTGTTGAACAACATCAGCACTGGTCCTGGGTCGTGAGTCGCCCGGGCCAACCAAGCCTTCCATCCCTCCGGGGTCGGTTAATTGGTACCAGACTTGTCTGGGAGGATAAAAAACACTGACTTGAACATCGGCTGGCCCCCGCAAGTCATTGTATAGGCCACATCGCATTCAAACGCCACTGCGAATGTACAAATGGAAGTAGAATGCGTGCCGCATCCCAAAAGGGATTGATCAACGGCAAATGCTTTATCCTTTATCCTTTTAAAATCTTCTCCTATGGATATCAGTCTTGCATTGTCAAGAACTGTAGTAATCATTATGGTGCATCTTCCACTGCAGTAACGCTTTAAATGGGTCGTATTTATTTATGCCAATAAGGTGATTTGAGAAGCGGCTTCTGCCGAAACCAGAATAAACCTAATGTTTTTTATGTACATCATAATTTTTCTGCTTCGCGAAAAGGATCTTGATGCCAACGCGAAACAAAATTATCACCAAAGAATTCCGAATCTTGAACTCTAGCTATTGGCATACGTTTGGGCGGATGCGGGTTACGCACTTATTCGGAAACCCGAGTGTTGCAGCTAGGGCTGGAACGTTTCTTACGACAGGACGCATATGATTGCATTCGTGCTCGATGTGGCAGATCCAGCGAAAAATCGAAATCGGTAATTACGGCCCTCATGAACATGTTTTCATCACTGCTTTGTCCACCTCAGAAAGAATCCTCTATACGGCTGTCAAGGTCACACAACAGTTAAGGGGAATGCTATCTGCAAGTACAACCTTCTTCATGGATTGGAATAGGGCTAATTTAGACCTTTCTAAATGCGTATGTCTTTAAGACATGTACCAGTATTTGACAATTCTTGAACTACTTGCAAGACTATTTCTGGCGAAACACGCTCGACATTTATGACACCCCACACAATAAGACAAATTTACTCAGGATAATGCAGCGCATAACTATTCTATCATTGTTGTTACACTCAGCGCGTTGCATTCGGTTATCTCGTGTCGAGTTTGGTTGCACAGCAGCGACAATCGCTCGTGGGAGAGGGGGAGGGGTTAGGGAGGCGGCAGCACTCTTACTTTCTACAAAACCAACAAGTTTAAAGAAATAAAGAGAGGATGATGACACCACCCCCGCCCCGCCGTGGAGTCCTTATTCTCGAATGGGGTTCTGAATAGATATATATCTAAAGGGAGACTCTGGTGACCCAAGTAACCAAGTGAGTGTCCGCTGCTAAAGGTATGCAAAGTGGTGCTTGTGCACGTTTTTGCTGCAATGCTAATGGAATGCAACTGGAGGAGCGGCCCGAATGGAGAAACGCTCTATGGTGTGGCAAAAATTGTGGAGGATGTGGGCGGTGCGCGGTAGCATGTAGAAATACACGCCGTCTTAAGTCAAAGCTACCTCAAACGATTTGCTCGCATATTTATTCCATTCAGCATGTAGCGCCACGCTGCGGCGCACAGCACAGTTTGCGGCACGGTATAGGATAGAGATGCGGCGGGAACATATTCGAAATCTTGGCCCATACGTACACTCTCGCTAATATAGGCTCTCTCAGCTTAGTCAAGCCTCTTTTAGGTCACTAGACTTTCTCCGGCCCGCATTATGAAGCTTATTGTAGAACGCATGGTACGTTCAGCGCGCCTCGCGCTGCAGTTATGAGATGACTGGACCTCGACCTGCGGACTGGTAAGGCTATGGAATACTTAGACTCAATTGTTTCACCTTACACACCATTTAGTTTTCTGGTTCTGTAATTTCTAGTCCTCTAGCGAGTGATTAGAATCTGTTTTCATAAGGCAGATGTTTAGCGTGATAGCGCCTGCCCGGACGCGGGGTACTTAACTAATCGGATATGACTTTACCATCGACACGTTATATAGTCCCACTTATTTGGCCCCCCTAGTTTCAGAAGGTTGTTTTGCCACGTGAAATTTATCTTAGTGTCAGTACAGTTCATTTCGACGCCTGCACGCACCTCTTGTGGGGCCGGGCTCCGTACTGTGTATGTTTTTACGTCGGAGACATTGCCACCATTCCACATTGACCAACCCTCCAGACGGATCCCGCCGAGGAGCTGGAATTTCAGGGAGGAAGCAAGAGCGGGGACTGACCAACAGACATACAGAACGACATACAGGCGACAGACGAAGCGCTTTTTGAATTCTCTTACAGTAAGTTGGATCCTGTAAGAGAATTCAAGCGCCCCCCCCCCTTTCCCCAGCGTGAGCTGCCTTTTCTGAAGTGGTTCTATCATTTTCTGGTGTTTTCTGCTTGTAATTGTTTCTATCCTACGACGACTTCAATTCTTAGTACATGCGTTTTGTCTGAACAAAACTTGTCCCCAAAAAATTATTCAGTCCCCCATTGTTATCGATATTTGTTTTCAGGATGCTCAATTGCGTGATGCGAACAACTGCGATGCCTTAGTAAATCTTGTCGCCGTTAATCAGTTTCTCGGCAAGGATTATGAGGTGTGGATGCTTGCACATTCAAAACAATTTCATCTACCGATGATCTATTTTTATTTTGTTCTCTTAACTAAGAGACATGGAACATATATGAATGATTCTGAATGGAACCCCGATCGAACATACATCCTGCCTTGAAAATATTCCAGGTTATGAAAAGGGCTATTGCGCAGCTGCGTGACATTGACTCTGCACATCCATGGCTTCTCGACTTGAAAGCGAAGGAGGAGCTTTTTGATGAGCTTGTTGCTGCATAACCTGATACTCTTTGAATGTTTCCTGAAATTTTTATATTTAAATGCCTGTGATAAATTCATTTTCTCGAATGTCTCCTATTATTGTTTAATCGCTTCTAAAAGAACTCATTGTACTCCTGTACACTCGTATGGGATCTAATTTATTGGGAGAACGTATAGTTGCTCTTATGACTGGTGTTAATAAAGCGTTCATTCTTGTTCTTCCTTATTTGTTGAAATCTGGATTCATCCTGCAGAATAACCACTGAGTTACGAATGCCTCTTTTTCGATTTCTACCACTTTTATTTTTTTTTGAAATATTTTACTCATTATTTTGTATCGAGTCACATATGACATAGTACTGCCTTGCAAGGAGGGATTGTGTAAAGTCATGGTCACACCATGTGACGCTCTTGTACCCAATTAGGAAAGCGTGATATCAGCTTAACGAGCTTCAAGGGTTCTAGTCACGAAAACTTGTAAAATAGTGACTTTAGATCTTATTAACATATTGTCTGTTCAAATTTCGTTAAAGGAAATGCATGCTTGAGAGGTCAGAGTAATTGCTGGTTCTTAGGAGGAATTCGTTCGCCTAGAGATTCTTTGTCTCCTTCCGGAAGTTATGTCGAGCAGCTAACGTGACTGTGAAGTTGTGGTCGCAAGTGCGTGGTCCTTCAATTTCTCTTTTCTGACCATGAAATGACTACTGTTCTTTGTTTTCTTTGTTTAGCATTACTACTGATAGAATGGGTCGACGAAAAATCAGCAAGAGGCCATATACACCCGATCAGTCTACGGTGGGCAATGTGGACAGCGATTTGGATGAAATTATCGATGTGGAAACCATCCAGTCATCACAGGTAACCACTGAGTTGTTGTATAAGGCTATGAAGGACAAATACATAGTAACTGGCACAGTGAGACCGCTTTCAAGCCACTTTTTTGTTCATATTTTTACTAGTTTTCTACTTGTTCGTGGCTTGGGCGGTTTTCTCACACTTATCTAGGAGACTGATTGACGTGATTTTTCCCTTCTGCTAGCGAAGAAAAGCCCTCAGTTCGTCAGGCCCATCCAAAATGAGATTTCTAATCCCATATGCTGCTTGAAGCGCCGATCTTAATCTGCCTTCCAAACTTGCTGAACGATTTCCCGAAGGCAGTTATGAAGCGAAAAGTGGTAGTGGTGGGGACTCTCAGGGTCAAATGGTTGCAGAGTCGGAGAATTCCTCCTCTGCTTGCATCAAAAACCTTTCCATTAGCATTTTTCACACGTTATTTCAGCATAACTTGTCTCTGTTTACCCCTCATTCAAGGCGATGAAGTCTGTGCACCATTTGTCCATTGTTGCTGGTCATGCGCAAATAGTAGCCAGAATTCATGATAAACTCGTACTATTGGTATCTGTAGGGGAGCGACGTTTACAGAAGTATTTTTAGAAAAAGGCTTCGCTCAAAAGCAATCACCCAGCATAGAGACCGATCCTACGAGCGTTTGTCCAAGAGCCCGCATCATTACCTCTGCGCTTTGCAGCTTCATGGCGATCTAGAGGATCATTAAGTAGATTTGGAAGGCGAATTTCAAATCAGCATTCAAAGACGCATATAGGCATGTGCATCATCTTGAATGGCCATGGTGATTTGAAGTGCTTTTCCTCCAAGTAATTACAGGGTGGTCCAAAATTATGAGGACCAAGACATTGTGTCGTTAAAAACGCATAGTAGCTTGATGGAACAAACAAACTTCAGGGAAGTGTTTGTAACTCTTATCTCAAAGTAATTCCAGAATAGAATTGAGATCTGCCACCTGCCCCGTTTACACGAGCCTTCAGATGAAGGGGATGGCGCGTGCGGTGGCACGCAACTGAGGCGTGTCAAAATGTTTCCAGGCCTTCTGCTCTGCTTTCTTCAGGGAATCAAACTTTTGTGGGCATTTATTTGCGCTTGCAGGGTGTAAAATACAGAAATCTAGAGCTATTAGGTGGAAGGTTCCATTGTAACAATTCTTCGAAAGCAACGAACTCGAAAAATCGCTTTTTAGAGATTTTTGCTTTATTCTTGGGTGCTCGGTCCTGTAAAAAGTCCCAAGTAGACTACTCGAGTGGCTTTCTATCCACTACAGATGTGGAGTCTTTAGAGTGTCTGGCTGGGTTTTCACATCAATTTTTTCATTTTGGGAGTACGAAAGTCGACAAGGGGAGACCTAGTTTCTGCATCTGATAATTATCCTGGTGGTAACTGTAACTTTCGAGTCCGAATTTTCCATCTGTGGTGGTTCCAAACTTATTGAAGAGTTGAGTTGAACTGTTGCCCATAAGAGCTTCCCTGATACGTTAGACTGCCGCTAGATGTAACGTGCCAGAGCCCCTAGTGAGTTCAATTTGAGGACTGACGTAAGGAGATGAAAATGAAGCAAAGGGGGATTGTCCGCGCGTGCACGGTTCTCATAATTTTGGTCCACCCGAGGTAAGCAAACCAGCCCTTTTGGCGTTTCGGCTGGGACCGTATGCTGAATGTTGGGGAGGGGATGGGGTCCCCAACGGTCGACGGTTTACTTCAACTCGGTTGGTACGATAGGAGAGTACTGACGCAAGTGGTGCAGCTGGTCCAGCAGCTCCGCCAGAAGGGCTGGTTTGCTCACCCCAGGACTAAGCCTTGGAGAGGGGACGGACCCGTCCTCTCTTTAAGGCTTAGTTCTGAGG